CACTTTCAGCAAGCAAAGTTGTGCCAACTGCATATCATAAGTTGTTAATGAGTCTTCCTCTAATCCTGATGCCACATTCATCTTCATATAGTCCAGCTTCTTGGATTATTTGCTCAGTATACAAGTTGAATAAGTATGGTGAAAGGATACAACCTTGATGCACTCCCCTATTCATTTTGAATAATGCAGTATTCCCTTGTTCTGTTTGAATGACAGCCTCCTGATCTATACACAGGTTCCTGATGAGTACCATCATGTGTTCTAGAATTCCCATTCTTCTCAATGTTGTCCATAATTTGTTATGATCCACAAAATTGAATGCTTTTGAATAGTCAATAAAACATAAGTAAACATCTTTCTGGTATTCTTTGCTTTCAGCTAAGAGCCATCTGACATCAGCAATGATATCCCTCATTCCACGTTCTCTTCTGATATCCAGCTTGAATTTCTGGAAGCTCTCTGTCAATATAGTGCTGCAAACATTTTTGAATTATCAGTAAGATTTTACTTGCGTGTAACATTAATGATATTGTTTGATAATTTCCACATTCTGTGGGATCACCTTTCTTTGGAATAGGAACAAATATGGATCTCTTCCAATCAGTTGACCAGGTAGCTGTCTTCCAAATCTCTTGGGATAACCAAATGAGTGCCTCCAGTGGGGCATCCATTTGTTGAAACATCTTAATGGGCATTCCGTCAATTCCTGGAGCCTTTTCTTCACCAATTCCTTCAGTGTTGTTTTGACTTCTTCCTTCAGTACTGTTGGTTCTTGATCATATGCCACCTCCTGAAATGGATGAACATTGACCAATTCTTTTTGGTACAATGACTCTGTGTATTCCTTCCATCTTCTTTTGATGCTTCCTGCATCATTCAATATTTTGCCCATAGAATCTTTCAATATTACAACTTGAGGCTTAAATTTTTTCCTCAGTTCTTTCAGCTTGAGAAATACTGAATGTGTTCTTCCCTTTTGGTTTTCTAACTCCAGGTCTTTGCACATTTCATTATAGTAATTGGCTGTCTTCTCTAGCTGCTTTTTAAATCTTCTGTTCAGCTCTTTTATATTGTTATTTCTTCCATTTGCTTTAGCTACTCTCTGCTCGAGGGCAAGTTTCACAGTCTAGAAGACTAGGACATCCTTAAACTTAAACATTTATGCATACCAAAAAGTTCACCAGAGTTAAAACATAACTTACAGACTGGTGGAAAAAAATTGACAATGAAATATCAGAGAAGCGACTAACCTCTAAAATTTATAGAAAAGAACACCTCAACAATGAAAAGACAGATGATCCAATTAAAAAATGGGCAAATAACATGAACAGACATTTCACCAAAGAAGACAGTCAGGAGGCCAACCAACACATGAAGAAATTAGAGAGGTGAAAAACAATGAGATATCATCTTAACCCAGCATTAATAGCAAAGTTTGAAAAAAAAAAAAAAGAACACAACAAATGCTTGCATGAGAGCAGAGAGGCTGGATCCTTTATTCACTGCTGGTAAGACTGTACAATGGTGCAATCACTTGGAAAACTGTATGGCACTTCCTTAAAAAGTTGGAAATAGAAATACCATAAAATCCAGCAATCCTACTACTAGGTATATATGCCTGAGAAATTAGAGCCATGACACAAACAGATATATGCACACTCTTGTTCATCAGAGCATTAGTCACAGCAGCAAAAAGATGGAAACAACCTAATTGCCCATCAACAGATGAATGAATAAACAAGCAATAGTACATACACACAACGGAATATTATGCAACATTAAAGAATAACAATGAATTTGTGAGACCCCTCATAACATGGATTAACGTAGAGGACATTATGTTGAGTGAAATTAGTCAGTCATAATAGGACAAATATGTATAAGATTACCACTGTAAAAAGTCAAGAAAAAGTATACACACAGGAAGAAACATTCTTTTAAGTTGATTAAGGATGGGGGGGGGGAAGGAGGGTAAATCACTAACTAGAGTATAGACATGTAGTAACACAGGTGAAGGGAAAGGTAATAAGGAAGTGGTCACCAAACAATGATTAAGGCAAAGGAAGACACTAGGTAGAGCAAAAGAGTTAAAAGCAACAAAGATAAATACTATTACATACACAAACCTGTAATAACAGTAATAGCAATCATCTAGGAGTGGATACATAGACACACAAGCTGAACAGTTATAGGTAGGCGATGAGACTACAACCACGAATATGCATATAGGTTTGAGAGAGGATGCTTCTACGTAACCAAAAATTACATGTGCTTCAAATAAATCCATGAATATAGTAGAGCACACAGGGATAAAGTCAAGAAAATTTCTCAACCATAACCAAACACTTGGAGGGACTGAATCACTGTGTCCGGGGGTTCAGGACCATAGTCTCAGAGAACATCAAAGCCAATTGGCATACAATGACAATATTCTACATCTTACTTGGGTGAGTAGCAACTAGGATCTTAAAAGCTAGTGAATATGCTTGGTCACAGCCAGCTACTCAGAGGAACTGAGTAATTGAACCTGTGGGCTTGGGACCATAGTCGCAGAGGACATCAAGCTCAATTGGCATAA